AGGAGGCGAAGGAGGCGAAGGAGGAGAAGGAGGAGAAGGAGGAGAAGGAGGAGAAGGAGGAGAAGGAGGAGAAGGAGGAGAAGGAGGAGAGGAGGAGGAGAAGGAGGAGAGGAGGAGAGGAGGAGAAGGGGAGAAGGAGGAGGAGGCGGAGGAGGCGGAGAAGGGAGGAGGGAGGAGGGAGGAGGGAGGAGGGAGGAGGAGGGAGGAGGGAGGAGGAGCCTGCGCGCAGGGACAGCCTGCGGGGGGGGGGCGGGGGCTGGGCGGGAGAGCCGCCGCCGCCTCGGCCGGCCCTCCTCCGCGGGGCTCGCTTCGATTCCGCCGATTCGATTCGACTCGGCTTCGATGACTTCCGATTCCTCTCTACCCTTCGCCCGTTTTTCCTGTTTTGGGCCTTCTCGGAGGTCTTCGTCGCTACCGTCGGATTCGCTTCGAAATTCTGGTCAGAACGCACCCCAGGAGAGGTCCGGGGAGTAGCGGTATCGGTATGGCTTCCCTAATTCCGATTCGACGTGTCGGAGGTTGATCGATTTCCTACCCTGACACGTTGATTAAGGAGTAGGCCGTTTTCGATTCGCGAGAGGGCGTCGCGGCCGTCATTTTTGCGGGTCCAGGTCCGTCGGTTTCGGTCCTGGGTCGTTTTCACTAAGGGGAGGTTTACTAAAGGGAGGTTTGTCCACCACCGAATGTGGGTTCCGATTTTTGCCTGGACGCATACTGGCCCACCGATTTCCGCCGATTCGACTTTCCCCGACTCGGCTGCGGATACGCGCCGATCCGATTCATGTCGATCGCCGATCCGACTTATCGATTGTGAAGGCCTGACGGCCTATGCCGCCGACCCTCGAAGACATCGACGACGACCCGGAGGAGGAGGAGGAGGAGGAGGAGGAGGAGGAGGAGGAGGAGGAGGAGAAGGAGGTGGATGAGGAGGAGACGAAAATAAGGACAAGGAGGAGGAGGAGGAGGAGGAGGAGGAGAAGGAAGAGGAAAAGGACCCCCCTGGCCCCCCCCCCCCCCCTGGAGGGGAGCGGGAGGAGGACCCCCAGGGAGGGATGCGTATCTGACTCCCCTCCCCCCCCCTGGGACTCCTCCCCACCTGGGGAGGAGGACCCGATTCGCCGATGAGGACCGGCGCGCCAGAGAAGGACTGGCGTGAATCTGCCCCCCCACCCCGGGGCCCTCCCCCGCCGGGGAAGGGACAAAGGGACATAGGGAAGGGGCTTCTCTTTGGCGTAGTGAGGACGTGGATGGAATTCCCTCAAGCTGCGAACCCCCGAACGAGGAAGGGTGCTCTCTCTCTCTCTCTCTCTCTCTCTTTCCCCCGACGGGAGAGGAGGATGGGAAGGAGGGGCAGAAAGAGGGCTCCCCGCCGACGGGGCCAGGCAGACACCCCACACACGCCGATAGGGTCGGCGAATTTGCTGCTCCATTTCGCGCCCCTGAGGGGCCGATTTGAGAGTATCGTTGATAATACACAGCGGTCTTGAGACACCTTTGAGGTAGCCTTGCCGAATAAAAATGGGCTCTCTTGCCTCCGACGTGCAGGGCCCTGGGTCCACACATCTGCTCGGGATGAAGAGGCCAGTCTGGGGAGGCGGGGTCGCGGCCCTCTCGGGGCCGCGCCGGGAAGACAAAAATCATGGCGTCGGAGGTCTGGCCTGCCCACGCTCGGCCGCGGCCGTGCTGGGCGACAAGGTCGGTGTAATTATGCGCCCTCCTGGCCGCGGCGCGCACACACACTCACGCACACGCACAACACAGACACAGACACAGACACAGACACAGACACAGACACAGACACAGACACAGACACAGACACAGACACACAGACACACAGACACACAGACACACGCACACACACACAGACACACGCACACACAGACACACACACACACAGACACAGACACAGACACAGACACAGACACACAGACACACACACACAGACACGCACACACACAGCACCATGCCAGCGATCAGGCATGGTGGTGGTGTGCAGATGCCTCTGGCGGATGCTCGCTTGCTCGCCCCTGGCTCGAGCCGTGTCTGGCCCAGAGAGCCAGGGTCTGCCCCAGGGGCGCCGCGCCCGCCCCGTGCCAGGAGCGCGCGGTCCGACCGCAACCCCAAACCCCGACAGCCTCCGATGCTGATGTTTGCGATCCGCGGCCCCTGGGGCAGTTTTGCGCTCCGGAGCTCCCGACCCCGTCTCCCCGGGGGCAGTTTTTTGCGCCCCGGCCCCCCGCACCAGGGTCTGACGACCCCGTGGAGCCTGAGAGCGGCTCCCCCCGGGGGCCGACACGGTCAGGGGCGGCCCGACCGACCTTTAGTCGACTGTCCCCCTCCGTGACGTCCTCCTCGCCTCGCCCCGAGGCGTGTGTGTGCGGCCGGAGGGGAGCTCGAAAGGCGAGGAGGACGTCACCGAAGGGGACGGTTCGTTAGGGGTCGGTGAGGCCGCGCCCGACCTGGAGGAGAAGCGCTGCGGTCGGAACCATCACATCGTCGGAGGTCTGGGTACCCCTCGAGGGCCCATGCTCGCCCTCGCGGCGGCCCTCGCCGCCGCCGCATCCGCCGTGGGAGCCCTCGGCGCCGCAGGCCCCCACGCCGGGGGCCCAGGCGCCGACCGCCTGTGCAGCCTCGGGGCCAGGCGAGCGGGCCGTCTGTGGCATCTGGCGGCGGGAGGAGGTCGAAGTTCGAGGTTCGCCGTATTCACGCTTTTTGTTGCTGCTCTCCCTGCTTGCTGCCTTGTTCCTGCTGTCCCTTGCTGCCCGCCCGCCTGCCTCGTCCCGCTGGCCCTGGCCTCCTGCCTGCGCGTTGGCCGTCGTCTGCTTGCTTCTCGTTGCCTTTCTCCCTCTCCGTCGCCACGCAGCACAGACTCAGACCGCCAGGAGCCCGGCGCCAGCAGGGGCCCACCAGTGGGGGCTCGCTTCAGACCCTGCGAGCAATTTGCAACCTTACGCAAACTTGCTTTGAGAGAAACGTGTTCTGAGTTTTTGTCGCCGGTTTCGGGTTGCATGGGGCTTCCTCAGACCCCGGGAGAGTCTACAAACGACCCAGGATGAAAAGTTGGTCCTGGGGGAAGGCCATCGGTCCAGGACCCCTTCCATTAGGACCCATTTCCTTGATGCCAGGAGGTTCTTGTACACCTCTCAGTGCTTCTGGGCCGCCTGGGGCGCCATCGTCGCCGCGGCTGCTGGGGAATCCCATCATAATTTTCTGGGTAAGCGCACATTGCGCGTGCAGAGTTTCGGGACGCGGGGCCAGAATTTCTCGACCCCCCCCTGGTGGGGGAGTTTTTCTTCATACCCCGAACCCGAGACGTTCATTGACGGTGTTTCGGTTCCCAAGCTGGCCTCTGGAGGCCCGGAGTCGCGCAAGCTGGCTTTCCGGAGTGCTGAAGGCATGTGTCCTCCAGAGGAATCCTCACCCTCGACTAGGATTTCAACTCGCATGTCCTGGTGTTCGTTTCTTCTGCCCTCCTGGCAGGTCAGGGCAGCCGACAGTCGATTTTTGCGTGCCGCCGGACCTCTGGGCGCATCCCGGGTCGGGGGCCAAAAGCCGAGCCCCAGACTCGCCCCAGGAGGGCTCGTCGCCGGACTTTGGAGAGGAGCCCAGCCGTGGAGACGAGGGCGCACCGGGGGGCCGAAAAGACGCAGCGCACTGTTTCTGTCGGCGGCTGGGCGGAGTGGCTGCGCCGGCGGATGGAGCGGATGCGGGGCATTACAGCACGCAACACGCACATACACTTTTCTAGCCAGCTCAAGAAGGTCGCCCTGCGGCTGAAGGAGAAGAGGCTATGAGAGCCTCCAGGAACTCCCGAAAACACTCAAAACGGTGACCACGACGACGACGTCGTCGTCGTCGTCGTCGCCGTCGTCGTCGTCGTCGTCGTCGGCGCCAGCGCCAGCGCCAGCGCCAGCGCCAGCGCCAGCGCCAGCGCCAGCGCCAGCGCCAGCGGCAGCGGCAGCGGCAGCGGCAGCGCCGTCGTCAGCGTCGGCATCGTCGTCGTCGGCGTCGTCGGGACAAGGCTGGCGAACCACAGCGCTGGCGCGGGGCGGACGTGGGTCAGCCGCGTGCCTGGCGGCCCGCCTGGCGTGCAGCTGGTCCAGCTCGGGGCGCAGCTCGCGCATCGCAGCCTCCGGGCACGTCTGGGCGAAAAGGGCCGTCGAGGGTGTCTGCGGTTCTCGGCCGGTTGTCGTGCCGTCTCTGCGTCTCTGCGCCTTCTTGGGCCGATCGCAGCTTGTCGGTTGCGGTCTCGTTGTCTGTTCGATTATTTTTCGGTTGTGTTGATGCCGTGAAGGACCGTGGCTGTGCACATGCGCCGGTCTTGGCCAGGCCTGATCTTGGTCCCAGGATTTGCGCACACGCCTTCCTGGCCACCATAGCCATCCGCATCCTCATTAATACCACCACCATCATCATCACTATCACCACCACCACCACCATCACCATCACCATCACCACCACCACCACCATCACCACCACCACCATCACCATCACCATCACCATCACCATCATCATCATCATCATCATCATCATCATCATCATCATCATCATCATCATCATCATCATCATCATCATCATCATCATCATCATCATCATCCGTAACCATTTTGGCTCAAGGCTCTAACCTGTGCCCTGGGGTTAGATCCTTGGTTGCAGCCGACGGGGAGGCTCGGGCCTCTTGGGCGCAGCGCCCCGTTCGCACCCACGATCCCTGTCGGAGACCAGCCCTGGTCGCGGCAGGCTCTCAGACTCATCGCTCATCAGTTGCTCTCTCCGTCTGCTGCGATGCCTGTCACCCTGGAGAGCATCGAGTCTCTGTTGAAAGAGCAGGGCGCTGCTGCTCACCAGCAGGCTGCAGACACCAAGGACACGCTCGACAAGCTGGCTGCTGCCGTCGCCGAAGCGCAAGCTTCGACGAACTCGCTCAGCCTGCGCATGGGTTCGGCCCAGGCTGCGACCGACGAGAGGTTCGCCAAGCTAGAGGCGTAGATCCGTGTGCTGCAGGACACGCGGGATTTCCAGGACTGCGAGGGAGACCCCTACGGCGAGGGCGAGACGATTGGCGGTATTCCAAGAGCTACAAGTACTGTCTCCCTCAAGATCGACGCCATCGAGAAGAAGCTTTCCGACTTGGCTGCGGCCCAGTCTGCTGCCACCTCAGCGGCAAGTTCGATTGTTGTTTCTGTGCGGTCGGTTGGCAGTGACCGAAAGCGGGCTCGAGTGGGCGGCAACGTGATCAATCTTGTCGACGACAGCGACCTTCCTGATCGCATGAAGGTCTGGGTTCGAGGATTTCCACGAAAGTTGCTGAAGACCAAGCTCGACGAGCATTTCGCGTCCATTAAGAGTTCTTTGCCTGCATCGTATCGCGATCGGTGCCAGGCGTGGACTCGCAACATGCAGACGGCCTACGTTGTGAAGTTTGAATCCGAGCAGGACGCGAACAGTTTCTACGATCAGTTCCGCGCGGCGCCCTCCCTGTGGCGTGACCCGCGAGCTGGTTCCATGCACCAGATCCGTGTGGGCCGCGACCTACCCATTGAAGTGAGGAAGAGGAGCTATGCGATGAGCAAATGCTGGTCTGTATGCAAGGATCTTCTGCTGCAGCAGGGACTGTGGAAGCCAGAGATGAAGTTAGGCTGCAACCCGTTCCAGGGAGCGTGCTACCTGATCTACCAGGATGAGCCGTATGAGCTAGTCAAGTGCACTGATGCCACGGACGGGATGTTCTCCTTCGAACCTCAGTTCACCACGCCCCAGGAGATCGGGGTCAACAGAGAGACGGCCGAGAGCATTCCTGGCCTGGTCCAGGGCCTTCCCAGCCAGTCCGCCTGATGGTCTTCATGGCAGCACGGTCGCTCGAGTGGGACGAACGCTAATTCAAACTTTAGTTCGATCTCAACACGCTCGACGGGTGAGGAAATGAGAGGTTTTGCTGATGATATTCCAGATCCGCCGCTGCTCTCACCCCTGAAGCGACGGCGGCTGCAAGGCAGCCGAAGGCGTCGGAGGGCTTCTCCCTCTTCCTTTTCCTCCTCTTGTTCCTGTTCCCCCTCTCTTCCTCCTGTGCAGTCACGGTCAGAATGCCAGCGTTTTTTTTTCGCGAGCGTGTAATTTTGCCTCTTGGAATTCAGGCATTTTCTTTGGGGCAGTTTCTGGTTCAGAGTCTCGACAGAGGCGTGCCCAGGGGAAGGCTCGATGGCTTTATCAAAACAACGACGTTGTATTATTGCAAGAAACTCACGGTTCAGAAGCCGACTTGTCGAGTCTCGAGCGTGACTTCCACGACTTTGTGCACTTCGGCTCTTTCCGTCCCTCCAATGCTGGTGGTGTGGTGATATCTATTCGCAAGACACTAGCTGCTCAGTTTGAAGGCGATCCTCGACCCCTCGTGATTGATCCAGGCCGGGTTCTCTCACTCACGTTTCATGGCCCTGATGGCAGTATTCAACTAATTAACGTTCATGTAGAGCCGCAGAGGAAGCAGCATTTGAAGATGGAGCTTCTTCGGGAAATTCGTCGGCACACCCTGGGAGTTAACTTGGCGTAGGTCTTCTTGGGTGGTGACTGGAACTTCCTGGAGTCTGGCGAGTCTCGTGTTTCCCTGGTCTCGGACGAAGCTCCAAGGATTAATGCGGCTTCTAGGCTAGGCGACTTATTCGATCGCCTCTTTCCTCAATTTGCTGAAGTCGAGCAGGGTGATTTCACTCATAGATGCGTTGCCCATGAAGCTGTTGTTAGCGTCGGTCGTCTGGATAGGTGGTATTGTAACTTGCCGAGCTCGGTTCTCTTGGATCTGTCGCCCAGAAGTTTCGCTGTCGGTCAAGCCCGCGATCGTCGCGAACCGTCGGATCATATTCCCGTCGTCCTTCAGATCGCACCCAACAGATCCAGCCTCTGTAAGCTCCCCATGTGGGTTTCCCAGCATCTGGAGTTCGGGCAGCTCTTGAACGAAGTGGCTCTGGACGTCGGGCTCTCGGAGGACCCTCGGGAACGCATCCTGGAGCTCAAATATTGTATGTTTGCGGTGAAAGACAGGCTTCTAGAGAGGCTTTTTCGTTACGGCCCCGTCACCGATCGCCGGAAAGTTGCCATCTGTTTGAAGCTCATGCGTGCGACTCAAAATGGCAATCAGGCGCTGGTTAAGAGGTGCCTTCGGTCGTTGACCGTTCTGCAGCAGTTCTATGACGAGGAGAGCGCGCGCTACTCCGACTACTCGGCGTTTCACAAGTATCTGCAGGGAGTGTGTAGTGATATCCTGTGCGCTGGGATCAGCGACTTCTTTGCCGAGAACCCCAACGCCTCGCGCGCCGACCCGCGGCCATCTCAGCTGCGCGATCTTCTCAGGCTATGGTCTCCTAAACGTCGTCGTCTCGCGCTGTGTCATGTGCCCGACCCTGGGGGTGGTGCGTCTGGGTCTCTGGCCAACAGTGCTCGCAACCTGGCTAACCACTGGGGTGAGGTCCACGCCAAGCGTGCCCGTGGGCCGAAATACGAGGAGGTCAAGCATTGGTTGTTTCAGGAGGTTCAGCAGGTCTCGCCTGGGATCCAGCGGAGGCCCATGTATCACGAGTTCGTAGGTGTTCTCGCCGCCAGAAAGGAATCTGCCCCAGGTCCCGACGGCATTGGATATGCTGCGTGGAAAGCAGGCGGCGAGCTCTGCCACCAGTGCCTGTTCTCCCTTTACTCCGACCTCTTAGAGTGTAAGGAGATGAAGGAGGGATTCAACAATACTTTCACTGTCTTTATCCCGAAGGAGGGGGGGGGGGGTGATCTTTGTCAGGATTTCGAACTCTCGCGGGCCGCTGGAGCTACCCGCCCTATCTCTCTCTCCAACTGTGACAACAAGGTGCTGGCTGCAGCTCTAGCTGATCCGCTCGCTTTACAGGCTCAGTACTCTGTCTCTCCCTCCCAGAAGGGCTTCGTTAAACAACGCAACATGCTCGACCATATTCTGGAAATGGAGTCCCAACTGATTGACCTTTTCTCATTTCAAGACTGTCAACGAGCCGGGCTTTTCCTGCTCGACATCGCGGCTGCGTTTCCGTCGCTTGATCATGACTGGATATTTGACTGCCTCTCGAAGCTAGGAGTGCCGAGGTACTTCCTCTTTGCCATCAGCGAGTTGTATAAGAATGTGGACACTGAGATTGTGCTCAGAGGGCAGGCTTTCGCTGGTTTCCAGATCCTCCGCGGGGTGAAGCAAGGATGTCCGCTGAGCGGGGTCATTCTCGCGTTATGTTTTGATCCTCTGGTCCGACATCTGGAAAAAGCTCTGAGACCAAATCCAGGCAGGCCATTCGCTTTCGCGGATGACATCGGGGTGCTCTCTAAGGATTTGGTGGTGTCTCTCCCGATAGTCGTGCGCCTCATGACGAAGGCAGCTTCGGCCACTGGCCTTGTGCTGAACCCGAAGAAGTGCGCCATCGTCTTCCCGGGCGGCCTCGAGAAGGCCGAGACCGTTACCATGTTCCAGGGAGTCGGGCTCAATGTTTCATCTTTCCAAGTTGGAACGTCGGCTAGATACCTGGGGATGATGGTGGGGCCAGGCGGCCCCGAGCGGAGCTGGATCGGTCCCCTGCGAAAGCTCAAAAGTCGGTTCCAGTACATTCGTGGTCTTGCCCTGGGTCTAACCCAAAACATCTATGCCTACAACGCTTTCGGGTTTCCTCGGCTCAGCTTCCCTGCTCAATTTCTTCCCGCGCCTTCTGCTGTTCTCCGCGCCGAGCGGGACGCTCATCAGCTTTTGACGGCAGGCCCGAGGTGGGCTGCGCCGTCACTCGTGCTGGCACACACGGACGAGATCAGTTTGTTTGTTTAGTTTTGTTCGGTTATTCTTTAGAATTAAGTTGTCATGTATCGTGCGTGTCTTCGGTCCGAGGCTTTTCTTCGTATATACGATCGCTGGCGCGAGCTCCGTGATGACGAAGTGGACCGACTTGCTGTGCCTCGGAGGGCTGATTGGGTTCGAGAGTCCATGGCTGGGTCCCTTTGTTGTTTGTTTGAACGTTTTCAAGCCATCCACAGTCTCCCCTCCGACCCCGACATGTCCATGCTCCAGAAGAGGATCCTCAAGGTGCTCAAACATCGTGAATCTCTTAGTCGGGCCCCTATGGCAGTTGCTCTTCTTCCCAGG